AAGTTGCTTGCGCGAAATAGACGAGGACAAAGTCAAAAAGTCTGTAATCATAGCAAAACTATGTATTAAAAAAATATGAGATTGTATGATAGAAAATAATAGAGTGGATTGTTATAAATGTGTCATTCTCATAACACATACACAATATATAAGTAAAGGCCGTGTTTTTCTTTTGCATAAAGCTTGGAAAAAGATCTCCAAAAGATTGTTCTATATAAATTCACTCTATACAGAGAGATTGTATAATTGTCATTGTGTTTGTAGGTTAAATATATGATCTCATAAAAATTTACTGAACATTGAAATTCAAGTCTTACAAGATCTATAGGAAAGTTTGATATGCTTTCAACAAAAAATTTGTTGAAACGATTGGTTTAACCATTAGAAAAAAAATCCAAAAATTGAATTTGAGTTTTACATATAGTTTTGTATGTAATATCCGGGTGAAAGATCAGATTTACTGTTGTAATTGAATTCGTACTTTGTGCTGTGATGCTCTAGAAAACGGCGAGTCGCTAGAAATGTGTTCGAAATATGTCAGGAACAACCATGTCTCGAGATGATACAAAAGTGTGTAAATCTTTAATATGAGTTTTCGCGCACCTTCAGAAAGTTCCACAAAACGGTAATAATTTTGACGATTTAACCTCCACCTTTTACCATAAATAATGAAAATTTTCAACAGGACAGGATCGACTCCAGATGAAATCATTTTTCACTCTTATGTTAATTGAAATTTTTTTACTGAAAATTGAGATCACTGTGCACCGCATTTATGTAATCTTTTGTGCGTTTTCTTTCACTTACCGGACATATGCATCGAAAGTTATTGTGTTCTGCTGCGATGATCTCAAGAACGGAGAGATAGAAATACGCAGACAGACGATCTTATGCTGGTTTATTTATGCATCAAAGAAGGTAATGGATTTAAAGGAAATCATTTTTATGTAAAAAAAATCCCTTATAACAGTTTGAAATCAAAATCGATTATATACATATATATATAGTAAGCTCGTTACCTCGGTTATACTATGAATAGCAAGAGTAAAAAGAGCTGATTGCAGTTCCGGCAATAGAATAGATATCTATCTCTCTAAACAAGAATTTATCAAGCTAAAGTTAACATAGAGCATTGTTCTAAACTTCATCCTCTATCTACAACATAGGACAACGATGGGCTTTTTACTCCTAATATTCGTAGTGTATAAGAAAGGTATATAATTTAGAGGATACAATTTGTGTTGATTTTAAATACAATAGTTTCCTATGGAAGAAAGTTTTCTACAAATCACACTGTTAAAATAAATTTTATCTTCTTCAATGTGTGAATAAGGTAGCATAAGAACATTTACCTGTGATTGGTATATACAGTAAGACAATTTTTCAATATAAAATTCCTATTCAAATAGCATATCTGACGCACTTTGTACTACTCTTGCTAATGATATATTGAACAATAAAACTAGGTAAATAGTACAGTTTGAAAAATGAGTAGTTAGATACTTTTGAAAGAATGAAAAACGTCGTGCTATAATTGTATCGTCAAAAACAACAGAATAAACAGATTGATCTAAAATCTTTTTCTAATATACTAGCAACTATAGGATGTAATCTGAGAAATACCAGATGATTCTGGCTCATCTAGTTTTTAAGATATGCACAAAACAAAAGAAAATCATCTATTACATAGTTGAATAATTTCAATACTTACTGTTACACTGATAACCTACACAGAATTCTATAATTCTATTATATATCATCATTTTTCAGTGGATATGATAATGTAAGAATTTCGATTAAGGCTATTCACTTCTGAGTTATATGGATAAGTAAAACTTTTGCTTCTATAATAAATTATATATTATATTATATATTCAAGTAAGAGTTATTCATGAAAAAATATATTTTTTGTGTATGACGTCTAGCTCTTAGAATAGTACAAAGATGATGTTGAATAGTTTCGTGAAGATCGAAAAAGACATTGCAGATGAACTAGTCATAATCTTTTTCAAGTTTACGACGCTATCATTTATAAGGCAATGGATCTATTTGAACTTTGCAGATGTTGTATGACGACAGTTATTCTTGATCGTGTTCCGTCATAAAAATCTTCTCGATTTTGATGAACTCGTTCATATCATTTCTCAAGTGTTCTGATAGATGTAGATTGGTTACCGAAAATAAAATACAGTGCCCGTCCTTAATTTCATTTATGTCGATCTTCACCTCTTTGTCTAATGCCAATACAAAAACTATATGGTCTTTATTAGCAAGACTCTGACTCAGCGTTATCATCCTATCACCAAATCTAAAGAAATATCTTCTACTCATCATGATACTCAGCTAAAATTTATTTCATCCACACTCATTCATTATCAAATAATAACTATTTATTTATGTCCGAAAAATAAAGAGTGTCAATGCCATGTTGTTCTCGTCAATTAATAATCATTAAATCTTCTCTATCTGAACTAGACATGCTCAAAAGTATTTGTTTAAATGGAAGAATAATCTATCGACAATATACAGTTCTAACTGATCAGCATCTATTAATCGACAACAACGTCGATTTGAAGAATTAGCTTGATATCAATAAAAAATAAAAACTTTTTTTCTCAATTACCAGTTCTTATCATTATCCTCAAAATATTCTCATGCGTGGAATGAAAAACAAAGCAAATATTGATCATTCAATACTGCCTATAGTTATCCAACAATCCATGATATATGTTAATGATAAACCAATGACAAATAGCAAACCATTAGATATCACATGTATACAGATATAAAATTCGATTGTAACTTAGAAATATTAACTTAATCAATTGATTGTTTACTTTTCATTCTTTAGATGGAAGGATTTGTGTAAAAATTTAACTAACTTTGCAAGGCTTAATAAAACAAAATAATTAATAAAGTTTTTTTCAAATTTAACTAGATTTTATTCATATATTTCATCATTCAAAAGGTTATCAGAACTATCAAGAATGATGATTAGTGATGTATTGGTGTGCCATCGTTGTTCTTTAATTAACATAAAAACTATGAACTAATTAAGTTCTAACTTTTGAAAACAATCATTAGGAGTATTTCGAAGTTTATAAAGTTACATAATGGGATGTTGATAAAAGTAATTATAATCGTATAGAAAATGAATCAAGAACAAATAAGATCAAGTCAAGTAAACACGGGCGCACCATGAAAGAAATGAAAGAAAAAAGGAATTCTGTGCGAAATATCGAGATAAATAAGACAAAAGTACTTGTCTAATCATCGATTACTTTTTGAAGGCGATTTTCCAGCTGATGTGTTTTGTATTAATATTTACATTGATTTTAATTTCATTGTTTCCATCTGTTCCAACGCCACCTACGAGTGCTATAAGTACATTTACATATACAACACATGCTGAATTCACTGCAGCTGTGGCACATCATTTTCACTTTTATGCATAGAATTGTGTTGCAATGTTACCAACATTAATAACAATTGATTCGATTATTGCTAGAAGTCCATACACACGTCCAGATATACCAGAAGGATAATCATTATAAACAAAAACTCATAGGTGTGGATGTGGTGAAAAGAGAATAAGTACATAAACATCCACATAGTAATGTTAGAAAATCATATGATCTATCAAATGAAATTAAAAAAATCTTTTTTTCTTATCGTCTCCATATGAAAAGAGCTATAATATCACATTGCTCATGCAAGTAATTCAGGACTAAAAATATTGAATATTGATCTCGCTCGAACTTTTTATTTGTTCGTGAAAGAATAGTTGATGCCATCACGAAAAAGGCTTATCTCAACATGATCTTTCGTTTACTACAAGAAGGTACTAAGAACCCTACTGGAAAACCTGCTACCGGCCGATTTGTGACCTTATGACCTCCTCTTCTTTATCAAACGTTGAACAGTGCTACACGCACCTTTTAGTGTGACTAATTTTTTGACAAAAATTTCACGGTACATACCCTCGAAAAACAGTAAGGTATAAGATCTGTAAATCGAAACAGCTGTCAAAATACTGAAAGCCTCATTATCCATAGATCATCTTATTTATAAATCCATAGTACACTGTGAACAAATTTTGTGCCGCTATGCGAGTGCTTGATATTTGCACACTTCTGTGATAGTAATACCAACAATTTGGACGAACTGCAATAACCTGTTTGTATGATCAGTGACAACACTTCTAAGGTCTATATTCATTCGGACTATATTGTTCCACTATTCACTAAAAGAAGCATATCATCGTCCAAACAATTACGATTATTAATAACTTTGTTTTGGAATAAAATGAGATACATCATTAGTCACTGTTTCAAGATATTTTGTAACTAGTACATCTAGAAGTTATATTCTCCCATTGTAAACTTGTGTCCAACAATGTGGATTTCGATTATCAGTTTAACAATATGAAGTGAGTGTGTAAAACAGATCTATAATACTCATGCGTTCACAGCCACATCCTCTTCCACCCAATATTATTTCATCCTAATCTACTTCACAACATTCAAGTCTCATGGTTATGACGATAATGGCTGCTATCAATGTATAGTGTTGATTTAAATAACTTATGTAAAAAAAGTAACAAAGTAAGGGAGTATTTCATTATCGATATTGAAAGGTTACATTTATTGATCTCCTTTCTGCACACAACGACTTGACAAATCAAAAATGAATTAATGCATTACATAATACATATGTCCAAAACATGAAAAAAGAGAGGTATTATGGATGATGTACAAGATGTCATTTTCATGTTTTTTTTCAATATCCCTCATTCAGCGATCATTTTTTATCAAGTAATTGCAATGTATTTTATGTTAAATCAAATTCATTAAATCACTTTCCAAGAATTATTCACTTTATTTCATGAAAATCAAATATATGAAAACAATGCCAATTTCATAGTCATCATATCATTTTTTCCTGTCATTGTGGCATTTCTTAATATTTTTACTAGATCAAATCAACTGCATTTTGAATGATTAACCAGCAATACTCCAATTTGGTGATCCAATGATATCAATACCCCATTCTTTAGCAATTTCCATTACAAGATCAAGATCAGGTGGCTTTTGGTTGAGTGCACAACTCACTTGTTGAAAATAATTTTCGATTCCAGCTGGACTGAACCAAAATTGAAGTAGAGCAGGTCGTGCATTTATTCCATTTATATTTCGAAATGTATGAACAACACCACGTGGAGCATATACACAACTACATTTTGGTGCTAACGATGTTCAATTATTAATAATAAATTGAATTTTACCTTCAAGTACATAGAATACTTCATGTTCGAAATGATGTACATGCATTGCGGAACCTTTATAACGAATGAAAATATTTATATCAATATTAACTTATACTTAATAAATGTAAATCTTCTCCCGACAATACAATGCCTTCCATCATTGTGAATTCACCATCAGTCTGCTTTGAAGAAAGTTTTATATGATAAGGATTGGCAAGAATTTTAGTGACTTCACCTCCATTTGGATCTAAGTAGAGCACCATCTTGCATGTTTATTGCTTTTGAAGTTGGATACAATTGACTTATACGTTATAATGATGTATTTGTAACTGTGTTATCAACATGAGATCGTCTAGATTTACGAGGAAAAGCAGTCTCTAAAAGAAATATACATATAATTGTACAATATAAACTTTATTTTGCTTTTGGGCGACATAAGAAAATGCTTACGTATGTAAACAGTCACTAATATCAAAGTGCAATATATCCTTAGAAAATACTTAATAGTAGTTGTCATTTGAGATATTTTTAATGATGAAAATACAGAACAGACATCAATTGCATCGCTGAATCTACCTATTTGTATTTATATAATATCAATGAGTATTTTGTTCTTTTGAACTAATTCTCTCACTTCTTATTTCTTCCTTTTTTATCGTAAAAAACGGTATAATAGTGGTACACTTATGCACACATACAATAATGAAAAAATTGAAAACAGAGACACATATGTATAACAATATTTATTTTGTTCTTGAATGCATAAGTTTTTAGAATCTATTCATCTTTTATTTTTATTGAATAAAATATTAAAAAATATAGGAAACATATACAAATATCATTGTAAAATAGAAATAATTTGTACTACATTTAGTACATGAATTCGACTGATCTATATAAGGAGGTTTATAAAAAAATTTATTCACGATTTCTGTAACATTTTGTAACATTTCTGATCCATTACATAAAAAACCACGAGTATTACACTTATAGCTAAACGCAATAGTTGTATTAATTAGTGCTAGTAAATTATTTTCTGTATACACGTGAAGACTAACCAAAGTACCTAACCAACACAAACGTTGTTCAGATATTGATGATGATAAAACATAACCTGTAATGTTGCATGAAGCTGCTGTACCAATATTATCAATAACATATTGCAGATTGGGTGTGAAGATTGAGTTTCTGTATTAGCATGAGGATCATAAATGATTAGTTTTATACTTTCTTCCAACTCAACATAACGATATCCAAGGAGTTGATTCGCTATTTTTTGTGCAAATATTCTTGAATCATTATCTTTATCAAAACATGCATTATGAATATCGACATTTGTTTCTGATACATTCGCATAGAATGTAACTTGTGTATGATGATAGAAAAATTTGTCAAATAATGAAGGTGTCAAACTTTCATTGATTGCTTGAGCTGATGAATCACCATCAAATGAAACGGTAACAGTACCATTAGCAACAAGTCAAATACTTGCAGAGCATTTAACAAAACTTTCTACATTAGAACAATCTTGTTCTCGACGATACAATGATGCACGATTCAAACTAACTATTGTACATTTTGATGGACATCGACGAGTATTAGTCACATTTGATGAATTAATTAGTACCACTTTAACTGGTAATAATAATAACAATAATGACATAAAACACTTGATCAATTTTTTCATCATTACTTTTTTATCTATAAAACACCAAAAGTGTAAAGGACTAATGTATAAATATTTTCATGTTATCAAGCCAAACGTGATTCATTGCTTTTAATAGTATCCAGTAATCATCTTTAGAGATATATTTATTCTCTCGTTAAACCAAGATAAAGTGCATGAAATGTTGTACTTCGAAAAACAAAGTAGAGAAAAGATAAAGATAAAAACACAAAGGTCCAAGAAAAAAGTAAAATATAAAAGCATTAATTATTCTTCAAGTAAACTTTCTATTATCATTTAATATCCAATATTACATATGACTCAATCAAAACCAAAATTTCTCATAGCCTATTGGAAACATCGTGAGTGATTTTGAAAATTATTCTTGAGTTAGCTTTTCTGAATAGTTTTATCGATTGATGTTATCATTTTAGGAGAACTTATTGAACCATTTCGTTTGTTGTTAAAATATCGAAATGAACCATTTGAAGATGAAGTTTATAAGTAAAGAGATCCACCTGAATGTTCATGTAAAGAATTTGTTCAAGTACGCGATCAATTAGGATTGACTTTTCCTAGTTTTTCATATTTATATGATAATAATAATAATATTAAGATGACACAAAGTAAAGCTATGATTTGTCATCTTGGTTTAATATTTGATATGATGGGATCAAATATAAATAATAAATCACTTGTGTTAATGTTAATTGATCAAGCCAAGGATTTGCGTTCAGAATTCTCACGTGTATGTTATTATCCAGCTCAAGATTATTTCGAATCTGAAAAACAAACATTCATTAATGTCTATCCACCTGGATAATTACGTGAATGGGAACGATTTCTTTCAGAACATTCACATAATAGTGGATGGCTTGTAACTGATAATGAACCAACTGTAGCTGATTTTGTTGCATTTGAATATATTGATCAACGTCTAGTATTAGCTCCTAATGCACTAGACGAGTTTCTTTTATTAACTCGTTACATGCAACAATTTCGACAAATTCCAACATTATCTAAATATTTACAAGATGAACATGATCTACGACCAATCAATGGAAAAATGGCACATTTTGGAAGTCATGTAGTAGATTATCGTTAGGCAACTGACAACTAGAAGAAAAACAAAAAAAAAACATTTTTCTTTTTCTAAAATTTTTTCATTTGCTAAAATATGACCTGTTTTGTATCAAAAATATTGTAATAACAAACTTTGATTTAGGAAAAAAAAACATTATTAAATATCTCTAAAAGAAAACTATGTTTATTTACATAATGTAGTTCATTAAATAAGAAGTAATTTTGAAAAAAAAATCACAATAACATAACTTTTCTACAAAATAACTTTTCATTAAAAAATATCATTTCATGAAGTAAAACAACATATATTAACAAAAAAACATCTTAAATTAAAGATAATTTATGGATTATATGAATAGTTTTAGACTAAATCATTTGCAAAACTTTGTTCGCTTTTGAAGAATTTCAAATAGATATTTAATTTAAAAGTAAAATTTATTTATCAATAGTACAAAAGTATTCTTCTTTTTTAATTTGTGTTCTCATTAGTATTAGTTCATATATGATTCACTCTTAAAATGAAGTAATCTAATAAATTCTGATTCATCATAATTTTAGCGCAATTTTAATCATATAAGTTATCTTTATTGATAATAATTTATTTGAAAAGCAAAAATATTTTCTTCAAATGATAAGTTCATTCAAATAATCTTCATCCTAAACAGATTATTATGCAAACAATCAAATAAATAAAATAATATATATGTATATTAAATATATCGAAAATTATTTTCATTTTTTATGTATTACTTTTATCTTAGCTTTTGTATTGAATATTACAACAACAAAACAATATCACAAAACATGTATTTATTGCTTGCATGCTTTTCTTGTCATTTTTTTTTGTAATATCAGAATATTATTTTTATTCTTTGTCATACAATAATAATACTAACGACAGCAAAAAGCAGAACAAAAACCAAAAATGTACTTTGCTCTATTTGTCTACTATTATCATATAAATCATACTTTTTTTCGGTGAAAAAGTAATATAAGTTATTTCGTCGAATGAGATTATTATCTATTGATAGATCCAGGGTTGTCGATTGTTTTTAGGAGTGCGGGGGGGGGGGGGGATAAAAATTTGGCAGATAGTTAATTTTTTTACAATTTTTAGTTCATCGAGAAATCTTTTAAGAGTAACAAACAAGATCATGTTCGTTAAAAAGCAAAGACACTTCCAAATATATTTAAACTTTCAAAAAATGAAGATATTTTAAGGTGCGAGCAATTCAAACTTCAAGTCATTTTTTTTGCCTTTTTTTACATCATTTGATAGAGTGTGGACCGCTGATCACGAAAAACTTGAAGGACGTCGTTTTTTTCGAAAAAAACCTATTTCAAGATATGCAAACTTTTCTGCTATATTCTTGTTTCCAGCTTCTAAAGATATATTTTTCAGATTCAGCATCAAAAACTGAGTGCAGGCAAGTTATTAGACCGACCCCGATCTCAAAAAAATTTTTGATGATGGCACTTCGAATCGCACCGAGTGCAATACGCATAGGTCGATTTTGTAAGCCTATCTAGATTTTTAAGTAAGAGATGAAGTCAGATATTTTATCTCATTTAACTCATCATACCACCAGTCACAAAAGAACGCATCGCGTTTTTTTTTCTTTTCTTTGTTGAGAAAAACTGTTTTTCTGAATTTTGGGCTAAATAGATGGAATTTGACTCGTATTTCTCCATTTTCTTCATAAAATCTAAGCTTTCATGCAATAATCTTATCATATTCGGAATCAGTACGAAAAACTGAATCGATTGATATATGATTTAACCTTTTCCATTGACTTCAGCTTTTTAGTTTTCGGAGAAGACCTGGCTGAAATTTTCACCAAAAAATTAAAGGTAACGAAATTTTTCGAAACATACATCAATCGATTCAGTTTTTCGCGGTGCTTCCGAATATGATACGATTATTGCATGAAAGCTTAGTTTTTATGAAGAAAATGGAGAAATACGAGTCAAATTCCATCTATTTAGCCCAAAATTCAGAAAAATAGTTTTTCTCAACAAAGAAAAGAAAAGAAAAAAAATGCGATGCGTTCTTTTGTGACTGGTGGTATGATGAGTTAAATGAGATAAAATATTTGACTTCATCTCTTACGTAAAAAAACTAGATAGGCTTACAAAATCGGCCTATATGTATTGCACTCGGCGCAATTCGAAGCACCATCATCAAAAAATTCTTTAGATTGAACTCGATCTAACAACTTATCTGTACTCAGTTTTTTATGCTGAATTTGAAAAAAATATCTTTAGAAGCTGGAAAAAAGAAGGAAGCAGAAAAGTTCGCACATTTTGAAAAGGATGTATTTTTCGACCCAGAAGAAGCATTTTCTGGCGCTAAAAAGTAATTTTTCGTGATCAGCAGCTCACAGTCTATCAAATGATGTAAAAGAAAGGTGAAAAAACTTTGCTTGAAATTCGCATTGCCAGCACTTTATATATAACATATTTATTGTTCACTGTGCCGATGACGAATGGGTTCGTTGAAATATAAATTATTTTGAATAAAATAAGTTCAATTCACTTTTACACGTCGTATATTGGACACAGATGGAATCACAACCCGACAATGAGCAGGAAAGCAGACCGAAATTCACCAAAAATTTTAGGCAAAGAGTACATATGAGCTTTCTGCCAAAGAAAAGTACTCTCAAGTTAATTTTCTGCGGGAATTTTGCAGAAAATATATTCTTGATGCTATCTATCTATTTTTGCCAGAAAGAGGGATAATATGACTCAACTGTTCGCATTGCTACCACTAATCAATAAGTATGCATGCATCGCGGAGAGAAAATTTTGAGAAATTCATCTTCTTAAATTTTGTTTATATATAGGTTGTACGAAAGCTAGAAAAAATATTTTTCAGCAGAAAAACGTAGAAATACAGCGGAAAAAAATTGGCAGAAAGGATCCGAATTTAGCGGGGAGAAATCCCCCCCCCCCC